CTAAAGGAGAGGGAGAGACATTCGGTGAATGCTTCTGGAAGACAAAAATCCAGTATACATGGGAGGTGTTACTGTTCCTCTGTCCTCAAGAACTACAGAGACAAAAATGGACAATTCACAAGACTCCGGCCTTATTTTAACCTTAGTCAGGAGCTCACCAGGCTGGACTTCTAGTTGCACCACAGCCCAACCCTCTTCCCAACTTCTCCAACCTTCTGCCCATCTCCAGGCCAGCACTCTCTGCCTCCCAAGGCGGGCTCCTGGGACCAAAGGATGAGAAGAGGAGGAGGCGCACAGAGCAGTATGGACCAATGCGGTGTTCCTCTCCAAAGGGACACAGCTCCAGGCCAGCCACCCTCTTGAGAGGGCACCAGGACACAAAGCCCTGCCCTGGCCCCTGCAGGCTGTTCTGGATGGGCTCTCTGGCTCCTACCAGGGCCTCAGGCTGATGGCCACTCATCATCTGTTCACATTACTGCTACCTCTCCATTCTATCAGAGGGGAGACCCAGTCCCCCTCCTGGTTCAGTCTTCACTGCTGGCACACTGACCACACCTCAACATGCCCTCCTAGCACTTTCTCACACACGGTGCCTTTGTCACCCATTGGTCACATGTGAACCTGCACTTCCAAACAAGGAGGAACAATATTTTCAGCACCTCCCACAGAGATAGTGAAGTTTCTCAATTCAGTCTCAATTGTCTGAATTTTCTCTCAGTCATGACTATGGCACTGATGGAAATGGCTAAAGAGCCTTCATGTGTTTGCCATAAAAATCCTTTCTTCCTAGATTTTGCAATCTTCATAGGTAATAAATCATCTACTCCATACTAACTACAACCTCTATTTTACAACTTTTCTCTTCTTCCCACCAATACTATAATGGTTAAATGTGAATATACTACTCTATATATGAATACAGAAGCTCTCTCCTGGACATTAACAGGAATCACAAAGGAACTGCAAGACTACAGTATTGGACTTAATGAACCATAAGAGAGTTAAAGGAATCGGCTTCCTGTTCCATCCCATCCCAGACAGGATATGGCAAAGTTGTTGCTCTTTCTACTCTATTCACTCAGTATCCCTAACAACCAGATGCTAGGTCAATCTTAGAATCCATTACCCTTTACCCTGGCAACCTGAAGAGAATTATCTCTGGTTTGTTTATCTATGATAAAGGCTTAGCCTGACAGGGATGGGATTAAAAAAAATGTGAAATCAATGCACCAATTGATGCCTAATTTAGTCTTGAAAAATGAAAAATCCTAAGATTTGGCAAATAACTAACAGTTTGACTTGGATACAGCGTTTCCCAGCTGGTAGAACTCCTTTGCAAGTCCGTAAAGTTGAGATGGCAGAAGGAACTGGGGCTCGACTGTGCACTGGGAGAAGGAAACTCTGGCCCCAGAACACCAGCTGCCAGCTTTATGTGGCTTCTTGCAAGACACAGAAAGGCAGAAATGAGGTTGCCTCTGAGATTTACATGCTAAGCTAAACACCTCATGAATCAGAGCACAGATGTTTTAGAGAAGAAGAACACCTGTGTGGGGCGGATCTAATGGAAGCGAGGTCGAGGGATGGAGAACAACTGTGACAGGGCTCTCAGGGACGCTTCCTGCAGGGGAGACAGAACCTCGGAGAACCCTATCAAAATGTTCATCTCCTGAATAAAACATGTTTCTAGCTCCCTAGAAAGACTAATTCTACTGTGAAGAGCTGTGCCAGGCAGTCATAGCCTTACACAACTCAGCTTTCTATGACCTGCTTCTATTTTTGCAGTGCCAGGGATGGAACTGGGGTCTTCCACGTGCTAAGCAAGTGTTCTCCCACTCAGCTACATCCTAAGCTCTTGTCAATGGCTTTGATTATCTTCTTGCAAAACAGGTTTTTAGACAGTCTGATAACCCAACCCGCTGACAGTTGTGATTATGTCATAATTAAAACAGATTTTAAAGTAACAAATGAGAACTTGCAAGTTTCCTGACTGTGTTCTCTACATTTATTGTGATTTCATTATGTTGGGAGTATGTCCTGAGATGGGCTCATGAGCCTATTAAAAACACAAAGCTGGAATGTCAGACCATTTCCCTGAGAATAAAGCTTTTCCATTTTGCAGAATGAATGATATTAACTGCTAAAAGGGAGCTCCTGGAGTCTTTCAAGGACCAGAATCAGGGAACTTCAACAACTCTGGTTTCAAACCATAAGAAAGGAACAAAGAGATAGCTCAGTGCATAAAACTATTCTGTGTAAGCCTGATGACCTGAGTTCAATCCAGGAACACATGTGAATGGGTAGATATCGTAATGAGTCCAGATGTGCAGGTGCTAGCTCTCTTGTGGAATGTCCCACAGCTCCAGAAATAAGAGGGATTGTGCTGCAACACGGTAGAAGATGAAACCCTACTCCTCTGACCTATACACACACACACACACACACACACACACACACTTGAAAAAAGTTCAGTTCTGTGACTTTAATTCTTAAACACTTAGAAATTTCAGTGTTAGGAAGAAAAGCAAAACAGAATCTATAATGTCAAACTAAAAAAAAAAATTAGTTGATATGTAAATGCTGTTAGTAAAACAAATCTGTAATGGATAATCAGTACTACATTTTTTTCCTAGTTTAATTAATTTAAGATGAATGTCTCAAGATGCCAGGCATGGTAGCTCACACCTGTAATCCCATTATACATGAGGCTAAGGACAGTTCTGGGCTGCTTAAATGGGATCTTGAATACCCATTCTCAAAAGAACAACAACAAAGAAATCTCGAAAGATTCACAAACTCTGAGTATCACCACATTTGGAAGCCTTCCTCTCCCCAATTTCACTCCGCTGCATTTGCAGGGATGATGTTTCCATGACGTTGTCAATAAATGTGGGCCTGGCTTAGCCTTCAAAGCTACAACGCTCTGCACTCTGAGTGAAGTTTCCTTCAGTGAGGTTTAGCTTTCAGGAGATTGCCAGCTGGGTCCTGGAACAAACTCAGCAAATAAGCGATATTCCTAAATTACATCAGAAAATCCCAATTAGGGAACAGAGTCCCAAATCCAAAACAATATTTTAAGGAAATTAAACATCTAATCTGAGTCAAGTGGCGTCTTTAGGAAATGCCCTGGTGTGAGTCCTATCATGTTTTGGCAGAGGCACATTTTGGCAGACTCCAGGGTGGTGACTGCCCAACGCTCAATGGCTCCTTCAGATTGAAATCAGATGTGCGCGACATTCTCCATTTAAACTGATTAAACACACAGACTAAACCAGGTAATTACAAATGCATGTGCTGGGGAGGGGAAACGGGAGACAGAATGGGGACTTCTTTATTTTTAAAGTGTTTTCAAAGATGGGAACAATTTAAAAAAAAATGTGGTATTGAGCCAAATACAGAAACAGATGTTTCAGATAGTAGAGCTGCTGAGAGCTGAGGCCTCTTGCCTTAGCCCTTCCCGGGTCTGATCTGAGTTAAGGGATAGTTTTACCTCTAGCTCCACTCTAAAGTTCTATGCATGTACCCCCTACCATTGAGGGTAACAACCTCCAGGTGTAGGAAGGTGAAACAAAGAGCAATTGAATGGTCTAGTGGGATTAAAACAACAAAACAAAACAACCCTCCAAAGTGAACTGCATTTTTAAAGCTCATCAGAAACCTTAAAAGGCCATTTGTATGTGTTATATGTCTCTTGGATAACTTTTCTAAATTCCCTTTTAATGAGCTCATACCTAGGCGATAGATGCCTGGCCAGCATTACAGACACTGACCTGGAAATGGAGGAAGGCATGTGTGGTCGTTTGAGTGAGAGATATCCCCCACAGGGTATCTGAACCCTCAGCCCCTACAGTTGGTGGTACTCTTAAGGAGGTGTGGCCTTGCTGGAGGGAGGATGTCACCGGGAGTGGCCTTTGAGAATTTAAATCCTTCCTCTGTTTCCAGATCACTTTTGCTGCTTCATGCTTGCAGTTGAGGGTGTGAGTCTCAGCTTTCTGCTTTTGCTGCCATGCCTCTCACTGTGACGGACTCTTATCTCTCTGAAACCATAAGTCAAAATCACTGCTTCTGATCCTGTTGCTTTATCACAGCAGTTTGGCAAAGTGGCCCTGAGATACAGATGAAGATCCTAACACTGGATACAAAGTTCTTCTTTGCAAAAATACATTAAACACACTTTGTATACAGATAACACAAGGATGGAGGGAAGATTCTGGGTGCCAGGGTCTCATAGCAAAGATTCTACACCTTTTTCTTATCATCAGCTCTTTGTCCCTCGGGACAGGAAAGCTCTTTCATTTATCTTGCTATTTAGATACACAGAGAATAATTTGGCTATTCTATCAGCAAAACGCACCCCTCCTCGTGTCATCAGTGTTGAAAATTCTTTTTCTGAGAGGCAAAAGGTTTTCTCTGGAATTACTGTCTGTTTTACTAGGTCTTATTTATAAGTGATGTTCAAGACATTTTGGTAAAAATTTTCTACCTAAAATTCCCCAAATGTAAAGGGCTCTCCTAGCTCTCTAAAAGCAAAACTCCACAGAAGCAGCATGCAGTCTTGAATTCACACTGAGGCCACATGTTAGAGCTGCATTGCACTTGGCCTCCCGAAACGATGCCCATGGAGATTTTGCGGTTCTGGAACCTGAATCCTTAGAAGTTAAACCTTCCCCAGCCCCCACCCAGCTGGTACTTAGACTGCCAATGTCTTTACAAAATGCCCCACTCTGCCAATGTCAGATCTTTTCTTGGGTTCCACTGTTGCTCCACTGGTTAGAAGACAGCATCGTTTCCTACAGCGGGCACAGGTTGGGCGAGGAAACACAGGGCAGCAAAAACAAGATGTCATGGTAGCTAACCAAAATGACACAGGCTTCAGAGTCAGGGCAGCCTGCCTTTCACATTCAGTGCCACTGCTGACTGATATTCAAACGACAGGCAAGTAAAAGTGCTGAAACAAAAATAGGGACTGCAGGGTGGCAGAGTTGTGCCAGGGCCAAGCCCAG